CATCCAATAGAAAATCACAAAGGCCAGGTTCAGCACAATCTGGCCCTGTTATATCGTCACACTCACAGCTGATTATTATAACTGCATATTGAAACTAAATAAAATTTAAATATTGAATCTAATCACAGAGATGTGGATAACACACCCATTTAGAGTACTCTAAGTGTTACCTTTTAGTTTACTCTCAATTCCGGGAATCTTCCAGTACCTCGCTTAGTACCAGCCTCAATTAGGCCGGGAAGCATCTCGATCCGATTCTGTGAGTTAATGGTTTGCTGGTTACCCCATACAGCTTCAAACCAGAACCACATCATATTAATCAATATCATACTATTACTACTATGACTCTAAGCGATCATTCCCGGCCATGGCTTTCCTAACAAGCTTATTTAATATTCACCCTAAGATCCGGCCTCTCTCTCTCTCTCTCCCCCCCCTCCATTCTGTCTCTCTCTCTCTCTCTCTCCCCCGGAGTGTTTAGTGGTCTCCTGGTCGAGCTCTGCTGCCTCTAAACTCCCTATAAGCTGGGGGATGGTTAAATGGCTGTTAACCTTATTAGGGGTTTAATGAGTTATCCTGTAGGTTGGCTTGTTAACTATAACGTAAACTGTACCGGCATTTAACGCAACAACCGAGGCTCTGACTGCAGCACCGAATTTGTCTTCCCTACAATTGGTTATGATTCAGCTTTGCTTGTAATATATTTCTACTGTTCCGATGTTTCTTCTTCCTTTGTTATTCACAGGTTATTATTATTTAATGGTAAAAATAAGTTTAATTTACCCAAAATTAGTCTAGCTCAAATTCTGAACTCGTACATGAATTTTCATCCAGTTTGGCCCATAAATTGATAAAATTTCAATATTTTTGAATGAGACTAATTTTATATGAAAAGTTAGCCTAAACTACAAATTATTCTCTGTGATTTATAACTCAAAGACCAAAAAGGAAAAAAAATTACCCCGCCCCCTAGTGGTGCATCTCATATCATCAGGAGACTTCTTCCTAGTCCAGGACTTAACGACATGATACATCATGTACTTTAATAGTTTAATCGAGAAATAAACTTGTTAATATAATAACATATGGACCGAATCTTGCCTCACCACTATTCTAACTTTATAACAGTGATAAACGGATGAATAATGCTCATTATGCCAATCTGCACTCTGCAGTTTTACCAAGATAAAAACTGAACGGTCGTGTTTGCCAGAACTGCGTTTCGTGGCGCTCGGATTTTGCTGCGAGTTAATAAGATTCCCTGCTTTACCCATGATAGATCAAATCAAATCTTATGTCATCTTCTGTCGTCAGAGGCAAAAGTTTCAGACTTTGTGATTGGTAGGTCGTTTACCATTCTAACTCAAAACTAAAAGGTTGTTGCATTTTACTTGTAACTAAAGCAGGGAATTGCGACTGCTTGCAATGATATTTATCGGTTATAAAACGTATACAAATTTTCGTCGTGTTATAAACCTTTTGCGCTACCCGTGTAAATGAAATCAAACGTTGTTGTGTAGTTCATTCGTTAACCCCTCCGACGGTAAACGCTTATAATGCGACCATAAAACTCACTTTTAAACTCTGTACGCGGTTACTTTCTGCGGATGCTAAGGCGTTTATCGTTTTAGCCTCTCAAAACTATTGACCTTCTTAGAATCTCAATTCTTCCCCTTAAATTTGATTTACTGTATTTTTGGGCATTTTAAAGGTGACCCTGGTGCTTGGTGGCGTACTTGTCTTTCCAAAAATGGCTAAACGAGTTGTCCACCCATGAGTACTTGAATAGTCGTAACCTCTATTCGTAACCTATACAGTATATAATTGCTGATCAAGATGATCACAACCATAGCAGCTAGGACCTCTACAATGTGCTCTATTTTAACCGTCCAATTTACTCGTGCCGCGTTGATAGTAGTAGTACTATAGTAGTGCTATCTATATTCTATAACACACACAATGAGGGCTCTGTGGTTAATTTACCGGCTGATTCACCCAGCTAGTACAAAACAAATGAAAGTGAGGCTGGTTAAAATGTGAAAGTAATAACGGCAACATCAGCACGTGCGTTGTGGCTTGTCCTAATTTGTGGCGGGGTTGCCCCTGATAATTGAGATACCAGCACGACCCCTACAAACCGCTAATACCCCAGCCACTTCTTCTAACCCCTCTCCAGGTGTTTGTTCCTAAATTGAGGGAAATTGGAGATATAATGACGATAGCTAGGTATTAGATTTATTTGTGGTGTTTCGTTAAATGATTCGTGATCTTGTTAATAAATATCTGACAATTCAAACTTGAAAGGTTGGTGAGGAAGCGATTTTTGTTTAAATTACCATTTAGTATTTTGTTTGATTAATGATTATTCGACCACTTTGTCTTTGACAGTAAACCCTGTGGCAAGTTCGATTGCCTCTACTTTTATTGTGAATCAGTTACTTGATAAGTTTGTTTCTAAAAATAATCCTCATTAAATTTAAACGGTTTGCTAGTCTAGCAACACGCACACTGCACAGCACACATGCTGCTGCACTGATAAACTCTAACTCGACTATATAAAAGGAACTGCTACTGTTCTCAGCGAGCTTGTCACGTGTCCGTTCCTCGTTGTCATGGGGACGCGTGAGCGCGTTACCCCCTCACATGCCAGTTAGTACAATGGAGCAGCTAATTGATTCGTGTCAGTGGTGGAGTTGTCAAGTGTCGGCTGCCTGACACGTTGTTAATGGCCCAAGAATCTCGGTTGCCGCTCTAGGGCTCATTGAAGGTGAGGGCAGCTAAAGGTGCCTAACAACTGCCCTGCTAATGGAATAAAGTGCTCCTTTGTTACGTGCCCCCTTTATTCCCACTGTTACTAGGCCCCTCCTCAGAGTGAGGGAGCTTACAGAAAGTTGCTTGTTCTCCTGATCTCGTACTGACCATCATCTGACTGCTTTCTCCACCTTGTGTTTATACCCACCTGCTTTTCAAAGTGCCTCATTGCCGCCCAAGATTAATAAGTTACAAATACAGCAACTATCGTATTAGGCTGTTTTATTTACCCGGCGCGGGGGCCACTGAGGGTGTTTTATTTACCAAGAGCTCTGCTGCGCAATCCAATTTAGAAAATCCCGATAATGTTCAGCTGATAAAGTAATCACGGATTTGCCTGATGTCTAGTTGCACGTGCAATTTGTCTAGTTGCACGTGCAATTTGCCCACTTGTGATTTGTTGGTCCGGGGCACGCACGTGACGACTCCTTGTTCGTCTAATATTAACAAGGAGGTTTCCACCGAATGTCCTAGGTCGCAAAAAGGCTAATAGGATGAAATTTTCACCCTCCTCTGTCGTCGTTGTCCTCGAAATCAGTGGTGGAATTTGCTGAATCCTTGCTTTAATTCAATCTCTAGCCCATCTGATTCAAACCTGGAGCTTACGTGTGACTTTTTAACCTCGGGCGTTAAAAATCCCTGATTGCAAAAAACAGCCCATCAAGCGGGCGTCGGTAATCATAACGTTCTCGCTCAACTGGCTGGAGGGGCCGGGTATTCAGTTCTCGTACAAGATTAATTTGTTACCCGGAGCTCTTTGGGTTGGGACAGGAGAACTGGGATGTGAGGAGTGAAATGGGGAGTGGGCGTTGGTGTGAATTTGATCGCAGTGATGTACGGATGGCCATGAAATTGCCCTCATTGTTTAGATTAAGGTTGCAAGCTTTGATGATCAGTTTAGTGATTAAATGGAGCAGAGAAATATTTTCAAGTTGGGACCTTATTGTCATACTTAAGTTAAGAGGTGATTGGAGTTTTGGGGACACACCCGCCAGGGTATTCCAGTAGAACGATCATCATCTCGGTAACATAACCACTTCGCTCTCGTCTACTGGAATTGTTAACTCACCTTATAGGGTTCCCTGATCACGTGACTCCTGCTTGCTCCTCATTGGTTGCTGCTAATCACGCGATCCGACATATCCTCTATGATTGGAGGGCTGATGTTATTAAGGTAATTGCTTGTGTTTGGTGTTTATCCGCGAGCTATGGCGGCCCCTTAAGTTGTTTACTTTGTAAAGCCCTTGTCATTAATTAGAAATCCCGGGGCATGCATGTCTCGTTTCTCACGCTCCCTCTCACACCGCCCTGTTTGCAGGTTAACCGCCTCGTTTAAATCACACTGAGCTGATCTTCCCATCAAGCAGTTGACATGATCATTATTGTTGATAAAACAAGATTCGTGTTCGAATTATATTTTCTGACGTGCTCACTGATTGTGTCTTGTCGCACGTGTCTTTGATCCAAGATCAAGGTGAATGAGGGTTGTTATTGGCCTGTATTATTGGTCAAGGTTTTAATTTTAAGCTTTCCTAGAATTTGCTATGGGCCCGTTAAGTCCTGATTGACATTTGAATCCCTAAATCGATCAATGTTGTTAAGGTTAGTTAAATCGCTTGTCGAGAGAGGTGTTGGATCGTTTAAATGAAAATGAACCATGCTCAACTGCATGGGTAAAAGTTAGATTTTCACAAGATTGATAAATATATAAGCTTATGATCTTTTTCCTTTGCAACTGCTCAATAAAGTTCCATTGATATGATGATGATTACATCTATAAGTGGCTTTGTTGAGTGTGACATTAAATTGGATATCTAGGTAACTTGCTGTTTACAACCTAACCTAATATCCCTCAAAGATTGTTAAATTCGTACTTGAACAGTTAAACCATAGCGTGACGTTACTAACTTTTTGTCCCAAAAGCATGTTATCAAATTACGGCGAATTTCCGCGAAAGTTTTTTAGTCACTTCGGTAGTTTGGTTACTGTGACGGTGATTTTATGGCGATTCCGTTTCTGCTATTTAACTAAGTTACTTAACTAAGTCGATCAGCTAAGACACTTAACCCACGCAACTACTAAACTAAACAACTTAACTAACAAACGTACATAACTACTAAACTCAACCACGATTTCTACCACGACATTCACTTTCACTCCCACTCTCGCTTAACACACTTGTCTTGTAGGGATGCACATGATGATGGAGAGCTCAGTACCCGCACAGACTACAGAGTTCCACAACGCAGACATGATGGACTCAACTGTTACCTCGGAGTGTGGAATACAGGCTGCTTCCGATACTGTAAGTCGGGGACTATTTTACGTGTGCCACTTTTGTGCGTATTTTTTCTGTGTGTTATTTTCTTGGGCTTTTGTTTTGTGCGTCTGTTCTTTAGTCTGTTTTTGTTTCTTGTGTGGTACAATGCAAAATTATCTTCAGTCTGATCGAGAAGTTTGCTTCAACAGTGCAGTAGAGATTATTTCTTTACTATTCGCCCTGGAGAGAAATATCAATCATAGCTTTATCAGTTATCTGTACCAATGTGTTCCATTGATCTTGACCAACGTTCAATCGATAGTCAGACGAATAATCGATTATCCCAGTTGAAATTATCATATCGATACTTTAATACCATCATGATTTCAATCCACTGTTTAAACACAGATTAGGTAAGACAATAAGGTTACAACAGTGGTCAGATTAACCGTGTCTCTTTAACCATGTCCGTTGATTGCTGAACAAGTGTTAAATGAAGCAACAGACAACTTACACCCCCGGATTTTCGTATTAAACAGGGTCTCCATGCATCCGCTCTGTTTGAGACAACCTGGAATGCGAGTATTTATTGTTCAAACCCAGCCACCAAATAGGCACAGTGTTTTACAGAGAAATACCTGGACTAACCTAGCATCTTAGTAACCCTAACATGACCCCAGGTTTGTAGAGGAGCGCAAGTGACTCCCCTGACTAGAGATGCAGGGTGCCAGTATGAGGACGCACCCGTTCCCATGACCTCAGCCAGGACCCCACTGATAACACCCCACATTATCAGACCGTCTCCAATAAAGCAGAGAGCTGGCAGTACGTCACCTCCTTCTTCGCAGGCTGACCAGGCTGCTTTCATGGCAGCAAAGGCTCTTCAGCAGCTCCGCCAGGTAACTGTCTTCATTCATAACTTTAGCTTCATTACCCGGGGGTCTGTAGTGCTTTTAGACAGCACCTCTTTTAAGAGACCTGTCTGGTCTGACAGTATTGTTAATCAATCTGTGAACTTACGGTTGTAGATTTGATCATTGGAAATTGTAACAAACCGACTTGACATGGAATTACTGTTCATGACAAACAAATGAAACATTTAACCTCTCTCGTGCCCAACAGACAAGTTACGTTTAAATTATGAATTGTCAAAGTTTGCAATTAGCAGAGCTGCCTCGTACAACATCTGACAAGTTAATCATTTTTCACAGAAACCTGTCATAAGATCATCGCAGTCATCACATTTGGACACACGAAATGACATACAAACCTCAAACTCCCATCCCATGGGTCCCAATGAACTGACACGACAAGACCTTAGTGCTACACCAAATGGTGCGTTTTCTCGACCTGTTAAGAGGCAGCGGGAAGGTAGAGAGAGTAACTATGTTGAGAACAGAGAGAGACAACTGACTAGCAGTAGAGGGACTAAAACAATTGAGAGTATAGAAACTGACAATACTGTTGCGAGTGAGAGTGAGAAAAGAGGGATTAAGAAAAGTGAGGATCATAGGACCCAACCAAGTGTGAACATGGGAACCCAGATCAGTAGAAATGGAGGATTACATAAAGCTGATGCAAAAATAGGACCGCATACAGTTCAAAAAGGAATTTATAGCAAGTCCAGTGAGTCAGTGTTTGGTACCAGAAAAGCGAGAGAAAAAGAAAGGAACAGTTCAGTGAAACCATCTGATAGTGACCCAATCAGATCACATCTTCTGGACACAAACAGGTTTTACAGATCCCACTTGTGGAGGGAACTTCCTTCTAAACATGGAGACAGATCTTTCAGACCTGTCACACCACGGTCTCGCCTTACTACCAGAGATCCTAACAATGTTACCTGGCACCAAGACTCACCACGACAGATCGACAATATCAGGACTGACAGAGCATTCAGACCGGTTACACCGAGAAGGCAGCGTTATCATGACCCGTCAACATTTCCTCAGAGCCCTACCAGGTGCAGCGCTGTACTGCCCTCTCCTGAGTCCATTCTCCAGACCCAGATAAAAGCTCTCCAGTCTCAGTCTTTACACGAGAATGTCATCAACAAGGATCAACCCAACGGTGAACTACTTCGTGGACTAGGTTAGTTAAAGTTTAATAACATCAGTCCCTTCTGTTTAAAAATACGATTTGAAGTAACAAGTACAACTTAATAACTGCCCCCAGGCCTTCTTCGAGTTTCGACTTCGTGTGTGTCAAAGTCTTGTTATTCTCCCGTTTTCGTTTACTATTTAACTATGGCGCTTTCGCGTTGGTTCCGTTGTTGGTGCCAGTTGTGTGTGCAATAGTTTATTTTAAGATGTTACAATCTGCAATATAAGTATTTAATCTTTTAGATAGAATCTCTTTGATCATCTTGGCTTGTTAACTACTTGTCAATAACTAGGAAAACGATTTCGAAATGATTCATTTACTGAAAATAAAATAGTTCCTGTTAATATTACATATATTACAAACCAAGTCCCCATACATCATAGTCCGATAGTTTCTTATATCTAGTTATACGTAATGAATTGACAAAATTCCACTCCTCATTAGTTCAGCCCTACAGTAATAGCATACGTTTGTTTAATTCGCTCTCTTATCTGCTTTCTTATCTCGCCTTGTTTAACGGCGAGATATTGTGCCTCTCACCTTGTAGCTTAGCCTTACATCATAGCAGCTGTGGACGACACGGAGATTGACAGTATTATGTTTAAAATTGAGGCTCGGATGGCAAAATCTATGAATCAGTTCGGTTGTGAAGCACCAGTTGACATGACGTCTGTACTGTTCAAGAATTTTTTGCTTCAAAGGTCATTAAAGGAGAAAGAAAAGTTTGCAGCGTTTCTGGCAGAATCGTTTCATTTGGTTCGCTCTCAAAATGACAAGTTAAAGCAGATGAAAATCGGTCTAAGCTCAACCAAGAATCAGTTGATTGAGAATCAGAAATTGGTTATCAGCGCTCAGGAATCAATAATTAACTGCAAAGAGAAACAGTTGCAGAAACAGTTGCAGGACCGTCGTTAAAGACACGGTTGAAAGTCAGTTTAAATCGTACAGCGATGCAGTTCAGGAAAAAATCATGGTTTGTCAACCTGAAAGTTCAGTTACCCCCGAGACTTTGAAGGATCAAAGAAGTCGTCAAGTCTGTGGTGCAAGCAGAAGACCGGAGCAAAAATATCATGATTTTCGGTTTGCCTGAAGATTCCAGTAAACACTTGAACAGAACTGTCGGAGACATATTTGAGGAGATTGGACTGAAACCAGCAATGGAGCTCAGTAGAGCTGGCAAGTTGAAGGATAAGACTAATCGGCCAGTCAAGGTTACTCTGTGACAGAGTAACCTTGACTGGCCGATTAGTCTGTCCAGTTCCAGTTCCAGTACAGCCTATCATATACTCAGTCAATCTCGAAAGCTGCGACAATCAGCGAAGTTTAGCTCAGTCTTCATTAGTCTAGGCCGCTCATTGGAGGATCGAGTTAAGCATAGAGTTAGACTTCTTGTTCAAAAGTTGCAAAAGAAGAAGAACGCTGAGCCAAACAACCACCACTGTATCAAAGAAGGGACAATTCATACTGAAGAAAAATCAGTGAGAGAGTGATGGCTTTTACTAGAGTGTATTTTTTCAATAAATGTCTTGCTGTTATATTAGGGACGATAATGTTTGTAAGGGGATGGGGACTCGTCCCATTGTGATAAACAATTTTATTTGTCGAGTTATTCTTTCTGGCCGTTGGAGCATACAAAACTTTAAGTTTTCGCAATATTTGTCAGATGAGGTTTAAATTCCGTCGTTAAGTGCTGATCTACACAATGTGGCATTTTCCTATTAAGAGTACAGTGCCCTCGTGAGGGATTATAACTATATTTATTATATATTTGTTAAGATTAAAATTGGTCATTAGAACCAGCCGGGCATCGTCTCGGTTTACAATCAATCAATCTCAAATTTTATTACAAATTTTGTTTCAACAAATAGACCAGTCTGTATGCTTCCCTTCATTACAGTTCTTAGTTACATTAATAAATTAACCAACTGATATTGTTCTAGGTGAAGGTAACGATTCTCTGATGTCCCTGTTCCAGCCGGGACTCATGAACTCTCTACCACTCACGTCGTACGCCTTATTGCTTGACATGATCAATCGTCAGAGTCTCAACTCGGCTACCAACGCTTCACTTCTCAACCATATCAATCAGGTGAATAATAAGGCGGCGTCGGTGCAGTCTGATGATTAGTTTAGTCATTAAAGAGTGGTGTTCAGTGTTCTTGTTCCTAATTCGTTAATCTTCTGATAAAAGAAGATGATATATTTTCATCTTTCGCGACGATAACCGTGGGAGAATGATTATGATGCCTTTTCTGTATGTCCTTATTACGTTACACAAAGAATATTTTCAAATATTTGCAACATCTAACCCTCATCAATATTCAGCAACTGGCGAACAAGCAGGCAGGTCGAGGACACAATATTGTGAGCTCTAACAGCGTCCTGAAACCAACCCCAACTCTGCTCACCTCCGGTGGACTGTGTACTGGTGGACTTGTCAGCACCAGTCTCAACACCAGTGCTTTGAACTCGAGTTCTTTGAACTCTAATGGCTTGAGGAACAGTGGAATGTTGACTCCCACCACTCTTCCGTCTCCTCTGCTAGCAACCTCCTCACCCTCTGCTACTTTCCCTCACGTTGGAGGTATGTAATATGTATGAGGTGTCTTCTGTCTTCTGTCAACTTCTTACTTCCTAAGACAGTTTCATAATTAATAGAAACGAGTATCTTAAGTGCTATCCCTGCCAAACTAATGTGGGCTAAAATAAACGGCATAGGATGACAGGGGTGGGAGGCTGAGGGGAACTTCGAACCCCTTTCGGCTATTTGGTAGCATTAGACTATTAGGTAGACTATAGTAGACTTTTAGGTAGACTATTGGGTAGAACGTAGTGAAATCACACATGAGGTATAGTATTTTTTAAATACTTATTTTATTTCAGGTTTTCTGAACGGAATGAACTATATAAGAAGTGGATCAAGTCCCCCAGTTAACATCCCGACTATGCTGAGACATTCCAACGTTAGTTATGGTATTATTAATCAATTAATACAAGTATCTAATTTGCCAATCCCTTAACAGAATATCATTGTGTACTTAGAAAATCGGACAGCCGTTAATGATTTAATCTAAATTCAGGGCAAGCGAGGTTTGACAGATTCCTCAGTCAACAGAGAAGTTGACATTGAGAGTTTGGTGGACAGTGTGATAGATGAACACATGAACAACAAGCCTGACTCTAACTCCAACAACCGTGAGTACCTTCACGGCTCCTCCACATATCCCCTCCCTTCCTTCCCGCCTCCTCCACATATCCCCTCCCTTTCTTCCCGCCTCCTCCACATATCCCCTCCCTTCCTTCCCGCCTCCTCCACATATCCCCTCCCTTCCTTCCCGCCTCCTCCACATATCCCCTGACCCCAGATCTAGTTGTTATCCTTTTAGTGTTTATAAACGATTATACGGACTCTGAAACGTACTTATGCGTACTTTGAGTCACTAGGTTGTACAATTTGTAAACCTCCCCTGGCGTAATCATTTAGAAACCCGGCCTTCCCTCCCCTCAGTGGTTACGTAATATGTGAACGACCCGGCCCTTGCATTATTGTCAACAAACCAGCTACACTTCGTGGGAGGGGCTGGTCTATTATTTTTGCTGCTATAGCAAAGATATTCAGAGAACATACTAGGCCTCTGTTTTATTCTCCTAGTGATTGTATCAGGTGTTGTAGTATCTAAATAATCTAAATAATAATCCACCATGCATCTCTCCGTTCCTAATTTCCCTGGCAAATAATTAAACTCTCAACATATTTAACACCTATTATAATTGTAGCTGCATGAGTATCACATGATATCCTGGTCTATGATATGTGTATTTGCGGTTCTGGTCCGTTGACAGGTGGCTGGACGATTGGTAGCAAGCAATAACCATCCAAAAGTCCCAGGCTCTTAGCGAATATAAACATACTCATTAAACGCTTGGTATGCAAAGATTAGTCCTTCAATACTTGTTTGTACAGAGCTCTGTCATCTCTCCCTTAGTTATAAAATACTCTACTCTGATTGGTCAGATGAATGAAATACTGTCTCCTGATTGGTTGCATTAGATCACGTGATGAGAATAATAAAACATTACTGGTCGTGACGAAAGAAGCTGGGTTAATGGTTTCGATGATATACAGTGAACACATTTATTGTCCTAGTTAAGTATTTATTTAAGGGTAGCCGGCTATGCCATTAGCGGACCACTGTCCCAACAATCCCCACTAAAATTCCGATAACTAATTTAATAAACCAGTTCATTTACGTCAAACCGTCCCCGCCGCCACCCACTACCCTTTATTATTACTTTAGTACCTCTAATGGTTATAGTTATGGTATTGTTAATTTATTCTAAATAGTAGGGGTTGATAGTAGTATCGCTAGTCCACTAGTACATTAACAGATCTGTAGAGATGGTCACGTGGTCCATTAGTGTGCCTTGTCCAGCACCCCAGCTCCGCCGGAGGACAACAGTTGATATAGATAATCTCCGTTTATCTGCAGACATGATCTCTAAATAGTAAAACGTAACCTTAAAGTACAGATTAGTGCGGAACCATTAGTACAGATTGTCCCAAAGTTTGGACCCAAGGCTATTAGAGCTTAACTTGTTAAGTGGGTATTTTTAAATAACAGTCTGAATTTCAGTGAACGAACACCTAATGGGAACGAAGAATTGTCTGTATAATAGATCTGAGCTGATGAACGGTTAGTTGCACCTTGTTCAATGTAAACGAGCACTTAAGCACTTATTTTAACCAATGAGAAATTGAATTGACCTCGTTTCTTCTTGAAAATAGTGAGGACCGTGCAAGAAGTTCTGTAACACGGATATTTTCAGATTACGAGATGACACCTCCGTTCAAGAGGAGGAGGAGGACAGTGTTTACAGAGAAGCAACTTCAGGGCCTCGAGGAAGCATACGGCAAATCCCAGTACCTGGACAGAGAATCCCGACTGGAACTGTGCAAGAAGTTGTCTCTGAGTCTCCACACTGTGGTCTACTGGTTCCAAAACAAACGAGCCATCAGCCGGAGACGAGGACAACCTATGGAGAACAACGGAGCTAACAGCAACAGCTCCTCCATTGAGAACATTCACGCGTACACCTCTGATAACGTGAAGAGCTTCAAGACTTCTCCTTCTTTCAAACGCTCTCCTCCCCACTCCCCCATACAATTTGTGAGTTGGTTGAAGATTGAATATTTGCCAACCCAACGATCGTCATTTTAATTCTTGGAAAATTCTCACTTTAAATGATTCATTACATAATTGACTCCGCTATTTTAAGCTCCTGAAACTAACTCCCATATTTGCACACAGGGCCACTACACAGCGACCAGTTCCCCAATAAAGGTTGGCTCCAGACCCAGAGTGAGTCCCACTCTCCCCTCCCTCCTCTCCTCACCCCCAGCTCCCGGTCTCATGAGCTCACCTCCCTCGTCTGTCATGTCAGCTACCCTGACTTCTGCTATCTCTCAGAACGTCATGAGCATGAACCAAATGGTTGGAGCTACTATTTGAGCTGCTGTTTGAACTGTTCCCTGTAGTAGGGATGTTGAAGTGACTCTGAGAGTCCTGGAGATATTGAGGCGGGTCGAGAAGAAGATAAGAAAGTAAAAGCGTTCTATGTTTTAATGTTAACTTAATTAGTTCATCTTTGTAAAAATTCTTTCTGAATGTAAAACGAAGAGCATTATATCAATATGTCCAAACAGCTCATGACTTTGGTTTATAATTGTTGATTAACATCTGTTTCGACTTATAGTTATAGGATCATAATGTAAATGTTTGAATCTAGTGCTAACTTTTGACTACTATCTAACGATTTAAAGAATTTGCTATTCATTACATTTGGTTTAATTAATTACTCAGGCAATTTGTTTGCACTATAATCAGTTTTCTGACCTTGAATTTAAAATTTGCTCTGTTTGAAAGACTCTCAATTAGGATGTCATTGTTAAGCTCAAGATTATTGTGGTTGTTATGATACAACTTACAGTCCAAATTATATCAAACCATCAGTTGCATGAGCGATTGAACATCTGAAACGTTTCTTGATGGTAGCTATACAATATCTTTGTTAATAGATGGTAATTGATAATTGAGCTAAACGTTATTCCAAATTCCGCTTTTTTGAGCTGACATTCTGTTTTTATTATATGTTTTCAACAATAATGGTACTAGTTACTTTTATTAACTTGATAGTTTTAGAAACTCGTGAGCATAATCTGGGATTTTGCTCCTTATAGCAGACTTTATAATTAATTAAAATTAAGCCTGAGCGGTTTTGACCTTGACTGGTGGTTTCTGACCTTCAAATTCATTTAAGGTCAACGCAACCATCCTGTTTTACACACTCATCAAATACCAGAACATAAATTCAAGTTTTGCTGTTCATTAATGCTGAATTCGTTGTTAATCAAGATTTGCTACTCTTAGAGTAGATCTGTTTATTTTGAATTATCAAAAAATTTATCTTATTTTATTGTGTAGACAAATTATGTTAGTGTTTGGACCAAAAACCAAAAGGTCCACCTCATAACGTGATGGAAAATTGGTATATCAGACAAATTTAGCTGTCAATGAACTTGTACAGGCACAGCCGTAAAAACGCGCTTCCAGTCTCATATATATCCATGATTCCAGGAAGTGTAATATAGTCATCTACTGGGTCATCGAATAGTTCGACCGCCCTTGTAGCATTGCTGCTTCCTTGTTCATACTCCAATCCAGCAAAGAATTTTCATTTGGGCAGCTGTAGTTGCTCGCTGATGCCTGATGGGTTATCTGGGAACGATTTAAGAATGAAGGAATGCTTTGAGCCGCTACCAATACTTCACAATGTTAAACAACCCAAATCATTGAGGTGAAAGAACACTGCACTCCTTCAATCTGTTGTATGTCTAGGATTTTCCTTAAAAATTCTGTCCCATTTTCAAATATGAAATTTTCTGAACACAATTTGACAGATTGGATGAACTTTTTGCCCAGAAACCAATTAGTCAGTTAATTGATGATGGTATGAAACCAAATTGAGGTAATGGGAGTCAAAATCCCTAATAAAATTGCAAAATCATATTGTCCCAATCTCTGTCCCATTTTCAGTTTTTAAAGATGAAATTTCCAGGACCGAAATTTTACAGTTTTTATTGATTATTTCACCTGCAACCAATTAGTAAGTCAACTATAGATGGCAAATAACACTATTGAGGTGCTGGAAGTTTGATTTCGGTCGGAGGAAGCCCACAGCAGAAAACTTAACAAAACCAAAAGTTGTATTTTCAAAATACTGTCCCATTTTCGAATATGAAAGTTTCTGAACACAAATTTGACAGATTGGATGAACTTTTTGCCCAGAAACCAATTAGTCAGTTAATTGATGATGGTATGAAACCAAATTGAGGTACTGGGAGTCAAAATCCCGAATAAAATTGCAAAATCATATTGTCCCAATCTCTGTCCCATTTTCAGTTTTTAAAGATGAAATTTCCAGGACCGAAATTTTACAGTTTTTATTGATTATTTCACCTGCAACCAATTAGTAAGTCAACTATAGATGGCAAATAACACTATTGAGGTGCTGAAAGTTTGATTTCGGTCGAAGGAAGCCCACAGCAGAAAACTTAACAAAACCAAAAGTTGTATTTTCAAAATACTGTCCCATTTTCGAATATGAAATTTTCTGAACACAAATTTGACAGATTGGATGAACTTTTTGCCCAGAAACCAATTAGTCAGTTAATTGATGATGGTATGAAACCAAATTGAGGTACTGGGAGTCAAAATCCCGAATAAAATTGCAAAATCATATTGTCCCAATCTCTGTCCCATTTTCAGTTTTTGAAGATGAAATTTCCAGGACCGACATTTTACAGTTTTGGTTGATTTTTTCACCCGCAACCAATTAGTAAGTCAACTTTAGATGGCAAATAAAACGATCGAGGTGCTGGAAGTTTGATTTCTGTCGGAGGAAGCCCACAGCAGAAAGCTTAACAAAACCAAAAGTTGTACTTTCAAAATTCTGTCCCATTTTTAAATATGAAATTTTTTGAACACAGATTTGACAGATTGGATGAACTTTATGCCCAGAAACCAATTAGTCAGTTAATTGATGATGGTATGAAACCAAATTTAGGTACTGGGAGTCAAAATCCCGAATATAATTGCAAAATCATACTGTCCCAATCTCTATCCCATTTTCAGTTTTTGAAAATGAAATTTCCAGGACCGAAATTTTACAGTTTTGATTGATTTTTTTACCCGCAACCAATTAGTAAGTCAACTTTAGATGGCAAATAAAACGATCGAGGTGCTGGAAGTTTGATTTCGGTCGGAGGAAGCCCACAGCAGAAAGTTTAACAAAACCAAAAGTTGTACTTTCAAAATTCTGTCCCATTTTTGAATATGAAATTTTCTGAACACAGATTTGACAGATTGGATGAACTTTATGCCCAGAAACCAATTAGTCAGTTAATTGATGATGGTATGAAACCAAATTGAGGTACTGGGAGTCAAAATCCCGAATATAATTGCAAAATCATATTGTCTCAATCTCTGTCCCAATCTCTGTCCCATTTTCTGTTTTTGAGGATGAAATTTCCAGGACCGAAAATTTACAGTTTTTACTGATTATTTCACCCGCAACCAATTAGTAAGTCAACTATAGATGGCAAATAACACGATCGAGGTGCTGGAAGTTTGATTTCGGTCGGAGGAAGCCCACAGCAGAAAACTTAACAAAACCAAAAGTTGTATTTTCAAAATTCTGTCCCATTTTCGAATATGAAATTTTCTGAACACAAATTTGACAGATTGGATGAACATTTTTGCCCAGAAACCAATTAGTCAGTTAATTGATGATGGTATGAAACCAAATTGAGGTACTGGGAGTCAAAATCCCGAATATAATTGCAAAATCATATTGTCCCAATCTCTGTCCCATTTTCTGTTTTTGAGGATGAAATTTCCAGGACCGAAAATTTACAGTTTTTACTGATTATTTCACCCACAACCAATTAGTAAGTCAACTATAGATGGCAAATAACACGATCGAGGTGCTGGAAGTTTGATTTCGGTCGGAGGAAGCCCACAGCAGAAAACTTAACAAAACCAAAAGTTGTATTTTCAAAATACTGTCCCATTTTCGAATATGAAATTTTCTGAACACAGATTTGACAGATTGGATGATTTTTTTGCCCAGAAACCAATTAGTCAGTTAATTGATGATGGTATGAAACCAAATTGAGGTACTGGGAGTCAAAATCCCGAATATAATTGCAAAATCATACTGTCCCAATCTTTGTCCCAATCTCTGTCCCATTTTCTGTTTTTGAGGATGAAATTTCCAGGACCGAAAATTTACAGTTTTTACTGATTATTTCACCCGCAACCAATTAGTAAGTCAACTATAGATGGCAAATAACACGATCGAGGTGCTGGAAGTTTGATTTCGGTCGGAGGAAGCCCACAGCAGAAAATTTAACAAAACCAAAAGTTGTATTTTCAAAATTCTGTCCCAATATCGATTATGAAAGTTTCTGAACACAAATTTGACAGATTGGATGAACTTTTTGCCCAGAAACCAATTAGTCAGTTAATTGATGATGGTATGAAACCAAATTGAGGTACTGGGAGTCAAAATCCCGAATATAATTGCAAAATCATATTGTCACAAGACCGAAATTTTACAGTTTTTTACCTGCAACCAATTAGTAATTTGAATTGAACTTGACTAACTAAAACTTCATACTCAAACTTTTCCCGTCAAAATAATCCTTATATCGAAAAATCCCCCCTCCCCCAAAAATTAACTCTGAAATCTCAGCTCACTCGCCCAGGAAACATTACTGCCTGGCGGGCTTGCCAGAGGTGATAATGTTTCAATAGCACGTTTGTCGTTACTGGGCGGCGCTCAGCCTGTCATTCCGCCTAATCTCTGTTGTGATTATGAACATAAATACAATAGCCTGAGGTCCCCATGCCCAGGTAAGTTTGTCGTCGCGCTTGATCATTGATTCACGATGTCAATCCTTCCTACTAGCTCGGCGAGGCCCAGTGGTGAATCTCGCCGATCAACGGAAGGTGGTTGCGAGAATATGCGCGGCGCGGCCGCCCAATAGTGCATCGCGCTACAATCGTCGCGCGTGACGTAAAGCATAAAGCTCGCTGCTCGCAGGCGTTTTACAATTTGAATTCAGCCATGTAGTCATGCAATGACAACCACATTAATTTGCAAAGTCATAAAGCTGCGACCTTTTATTTGGCCCAAAATCATACTTTTCGGGATAACTCAAAATTTACAATACCCCTAATTTTCTTCGCATAGCCATGTGTGATGTGTATACGCGTACTTGGTACTGCGTGACGCGCTTTTTTCACAAGTAGAATTGAGAATATACCTTCGGCGGTCGCGCGCTACTGCAAACGAGAGGGCTCTGGATAGAGCATTTAATTTTCCTTCTGCATTCTGGGGCCGGGGAGGTAACTTGACGGTTGTTACTCGTCTAAATTTCTTCGAAGTAGCGCGCGCCGCTTTCTTCTCGAAATGTTATTTAGCCCGATGGCAAGTGCTACGAAGTAGCGCGCGCCGGGCCAGGTTATTAACAAGGGTCAAGGAGGTAACGTTCAACGTTACTTTTACAAGGCGAACATTTTGCAAAAAAACCGGAAGAAAGTAAAGAATTTTGTCAACACAAAAGAGGATCCCTGGATTTTTTAAACTTCATACTTTTCCCGTCAAAATAAGCCTTATATTGAAATATCCCCCCTCCCCCAAAACTTCCCCCCTTCTCAATTTCCTACTATATACCCTCTCTTGCAGTAGCGCGCGACCGCCGAAACAAGCGCGTCACGCAGTACGCGTATAATACACATGGCTATGTGAATATACCTCCTCTTTGTGCTTTTTTCATCTGCAGCTGCCATGAATATTTCATAGTTCACATGCAGCGCTGCATGTGAACTATGAAATCTCGGCTCTCTCGCCCAGGAAACTTTATTAATTACTGCCTAGTGGGCTTGCCAGAGGTGATCATTTTCCTTTTGGGGCCGGGGAGGTAACTTTACTTTTATAAGCAATAACAAATAAGGCGAACATTTCGCAAAATACCGAAAATCTCTAGCTTTTTTATTTTCGAAGTTATGAGTTAGGCCCCAGCCAATAAGGTTTCCTGGGAAAACGGATG